AAGAGAGTAATGGCCAATAAAGACGTCAAGGACAAACCATGAGAATTTAACCCCAGTGAACAGTTCACCATGAAAACTTTACTTTGATATCGATATTTATTACAGATACCGATAGCAACACAGGAGGCTAATTGAGTCCATGCTGACTCTTTCTAAAATCATCTAGCATCTCGCATATAATAAGTTACCTTAGTAGCTCTTAAATCATTTAAACAACAGATTGGATTAAAAATATTTTCAGAAAGTGACTCGTTTTGTTTTTCCAGTCACCTGTTAACTTAAAATGATTGAGAAGAAGTTGCAATATATGTAGATAATCAGGATTTCACAAAATTATTGGATGTGATTTTACAAGACTATCTTCTATTTCATTTTATTGTTTTCAACACACAAGGTACATTTTAAAATCAACAGACAACAAAGACTTTAATGTTGTCACTTTTCCATGGAAAATTCTTGGACAAAACTTTGATCCCGGAGCTGGGAGATCTAATACATTTTCAATGCCGTACACATCACAACTGTGTTTATCAAATAAGGTTTATCAAACATTTTCTTTGGCACAGATTCAAGTTATTTCTTTTCTGCATGTACTTGCTTAGGATAGCCTCATCAGTCACTGTGATCCTCAGAGCAACAAGTGCCCCTCAGAGCAAGAGCATAATTCCAATGTGCAAAGGGTGTTTCCTCCATTGTCTGGAACAGGAGACAAAGAAATAGAGAAAGATGAGAATCAAGAATCAAGAGAGAGTCCGGGCAGAAGTTCATTACTTCTCTTCACAATCCAGGGGTAGGACCAACAAGCATTAAACACCAAACCCATGCTCCTTTTTGATTTTAACTCCAAATATTAGTCAAAGTATGTAACTTGTGCATGGATGTGGCAAAAATATGCACTTTAAAATTTCTAATTTTGGGATATCTCTTTAAAGTTTAGTGATTGAATGAAGTCTGAAGTTTCATCTAGTGCTGGGGTCTTATCAGATCTGTGTTATTGCAAGGTTTGTGGCTGTGATCTCAAAAGAAGTGAACTGTTGACCAGAGATGCTGCAAAACCTGAAAGGGTTCTGAAAAGATTTACAAGGATTTTGCCAGGTTTGGAGGGTTTGAGCAAGAGGGAGAGGCTGAATACACTGGGGTGACTTTCTCTGGAGCATCAGAGGCTGCGGGGTGATCTTATAGAGGTTTATAAGATCATGAAGGTTATGGATAGAGTAAATAGACAAGGTCTTTTCCCAGGGGTGGGGGAGTCCAAAACTAGAGGCCATAGGTTTAAGGTGTGAGGGGAAAGATTTATAAGGGATCTAAGGGGCAACTTTTTCACGCAGAGAATGGTGCATATAAGGAACGAGATACCACAGCGGAGGCTGGTACGATTGCAACATTTAAAAAACATCTGGATGGGTAAATGAATAGGAAACATTTAGTGGGATTTGGGCCAAATGCTGGGAAATGGGACTAGATTTATTTGGGAGGTCGGCATGGACGAGTTGGATCGAAGGGTCTGTTTCCGTCCTGTATATCTCTGTGACTCTGTGACAACATTCGAACACATGCATGGCTGGTGATTGTTTAGTTTGTAATTGGGTAGCAATTTGTTTTTTTTTCTAATTTGAGAAGCCAAATCATGAACATCAATATTGAGGGTATCTAGCATTTCCTTCCTGAGCATTAGGGAGAAGCAAAACAATTTCTGACGAGTTAAAAATACCTTGAACAAAAGCAAAGTTGCTGGAAAAGCTCGGAATTCTGAGGAAGGGTCACTGGGCCCGAAACGTTAACTCTGTTTTTTCCTTCACAGATGCTGCCAGACCTGCTGAGCTTTTCCAGCAACTTTGTTTTTGTTCCTGATTTACAGCATCCGCAGTTCTTTTGGTTTTTATTAAAAATACCTTGAGTCTGCTTGACAAATTCAGCAAAAACAGCCCGGCAGGTCTGATAAAAGAGAAGTCATGTCTCTTCAAAAGTTAACGACAGAGGCTAACTCTTAAAATTTGCAATCTGTTACTTTACGTTTTTTAAAAAAATTGCTAACAGGATATTTGAGTGAAAATATTTGTTCGCATTAATTTAATACATTTACTAGATTTTGAAATTTTATCTGTTTGATGCTAATAAAAACAAAAAAAAACTAGAAATACTCAGCGGGTTATGGGAAAATAAATGGAATGAAACAGACTTAACATTTCAGGTCTGTAACCTTTCATCAGAAGTGGGAAAAATTAGAGACGTAATAGATGATCTATTTGACGTGTTTTCAAATAATCAAGAGGATTGGGGGAGTGGAATATATTCCTTTTTCTAAAGCAGGCTTTGGTGTTGTGAATTGGAATGGGAAGGCCACCACATCGCAAAAACAAACTGTAAAGTACTGTGTCAAGACAACTGAAATATTATTATTTCATAGCCTGCTATTAGTATTTCGCTACTGGTTGACTCATTCAGACAGTGAGTTGTGCCCTTTCAAAAGTAATCTTAAATCCACATGTTAAAATGTGCTGTCATCTGTAAAAATAGCGGATTATATATGTCATATGTCATAGATCATAGAATCCCTTCAGCGTGGAAACAGGCCCTTTGGCCCAACACCCCACACCGACCCTCAGAGCATCCCACCCAGAACCCATCCCCCTATAACCCACCTAATCTACACATCCCTGAACACTACGGGCAATTTAGCATGGCCAATCCACCTAGCCTGCACATCTTCGGACTGTGGGAGGAAACGGAGCACCCGGAAGAAACCTACGCAGACACGGGGAGAATGTGCAAACTCCACACAGTCGCCCGGGTGGAATCGAACCCGGGTCCCTGTCATTTAGAACATTTCTCGAAGGAGAGATTGGCGTATCCTCGGGAACACAAGGTAAAGTCAATCCTGTTGAAGGAATTAAAATATTTAAAAACAGTGATTTAAGATCAGAGTCGCGATGATCTCGGGATTTAAAGGTAAGAAAAGTTCTGAAGAAGGATGGCATCAGCGGGAAATGCAATAGGGGAGTGCCAGTCTGTGCGTGGTCCTTGTGGAAGTACT